ATTCTTAGAATTTACCTCCTCAATGCAGACACGATCTTTTTTCTTTCCCAAAATCTACATACTGCAATATCTGATGGGACCTAGAAAAGACAATGAAACTGAAATTATTTAACCCCTGGGAAGGAAATCATTTAAAGTCACTTAAAAAAACTTCAAAAAGATTAGAGAGATAAACTGACTGTCATGAAATCTCTCTATAAGACAGAACAGCCATGCATTTAACATTTTTTCCTTGACTCTGTAAAACAAAACTCCTAAAGATCTTTATCTTTCTATAGTGCCACTGTGAGGCAACTAAGCAATAAATTGATGCATTAACTTTACAAAAAATACATTCAGCATAGATCATCAACTAGCAAACTACCTGATTCTTTTCTCTGGCTAATGCTTAATAATTGATTAACATAAACTGAATGAAAGAAACCATTAGTGAGGCACAAAAATTCAATATGTTTTACTTGGCATTAGTTTATATTAAGTTATCAGATTCAATCCTTGTTAATACAGCAAAACTACTGAGACACATTAGACACAAAAAAAATTCAATAAACAACACTAAAGCTACATTACCAGTACAATAATCAAAGAATTCTATGTATTTATAGATCTTTCATGTACCCATGTCAGATTCAAATGAAAAATTAAACAAATAATTAATTCACAAATTGAATAATTGATAAATTGAGAAAAATATAAAAGTTCTATATATATCATGAAGAAATAAATTCAAATATTAAAAGACATAATCAGCCATTTAGTAAAATATGTTGTAGGTCATGTACAATCATACTGTAAAATTATATATTTTTGTGGGGTCAAATTTTCGAGGTTTGAGGAAAAAATTTGGTTTGTGGGGATTTTAAAATCGTGGTTGGAAACTGTTTAGCAATAATGCATATGGACTTTACAGTTCATGGTGGTCATAAATTGGTGGGTCCCTCCATACCTCAAAAACAACGAAAATTAAACTCCCATGAAATTTAGTGATTTCACAGTATTAGTAAATTACTCAAGCCAGTTTGTCACTGGATTTATACACATTATTATTTTTGGAAGAATTGACAGATTTTCTCAATACTTTATTACCTCATATCCCCCCCTCCCAACACACTCAAACACATTATGTATATATCAGAAAGGACTCATCCTATCATTCTAGTGGCATACCTATTAGATAAACTCAGGCAGCACCATCAATGACCTCTTCATTTAGTCCAGCAGCTTTTTAAGATGTATGTAGTAGTCTGTTGTTCAAATTCAACTCCTCACTCTAAAATTCTTAATAATCCTGATTCACAAGCTGTTCAATTGCAAAAAAGTGCCACACAAGATCCACTATTAGATTAACACACCTGTTCTTGGTACACAGAAGACAGGGAAGTGGTGCTACTTGACAATGTGTCAATCACCACCTACTGATCCCAAGCTTCTAACCTTACCCTCCTTATCTCATAAAACACCACCAACTACAGCCTCAAATTAGACAAAACCATACAGCTGCTTATTGCTTCAGCACAAACTTCATGCCAGACTAAGTTTTTCATTTGGAGAGCCGATGCTTCACCATTGCTTACAGTGGGGGCACCTGCTTCTCAGAACCAGGATATATATCATAAAGCACTTGACCAAACAAATCCCCAATCTCTGCCAATCATTTTATGGCTGCAATCTGTTGCTGCTGGAATATTTGGAGGAGATTGGGAAGATTTTTTTAATCTTCATTTTCATCCAATATCAGACAAGTTTCCAACTGTGCAAGGTGAAAGATGTTCAGATAAAGAAACCACAATTTTTTTTTATCCTGGTAGATTTTTTTTATGTATATCTGTTTATACTAGCTTCTCTAAAAATACATCACCCATGATGTATTTTTACACTCAGAATATCTAGTAAATATGAATGAAATATATTTATGAATGTTGATGTCAACTATATTCAAATCTAATATCATCTACCGGTACAAGTTTGTAATGAATAAGAAGGTCTGGAGTAAATTTTTAAATTATATATGAAGTAAACTCAGTCTTTTAAATGTCAAGGTCTTGTAATATATACTAATTAAATAATAATAGTACATGACCAATGCTCCATTTTATAAATTATAGAGGGCTTTATTCACAAAGCTATCAGTATGACCTTTGACATTTACCTGTAAGTTATGCTTCATTGTGTGATTTTCCTCCTTCTCTAGTTCAGCATTACACACAGGATAAAGGAGAAGGTGGTTATACTAATTAATTTACCTGTTAAATAACAAAATATTATTTCAAGATTTATTACTGAATGAAATCTTTATTGCACTTTTTGTCAGCGAATTATAGAGCAAGATCAAGTGCACCATATGTTACTAATCTTGTGTCACAAGGCAACTGACCCGAGGACAAAATCACTCTGTCGCCAACATCAAGTGGCTAGGGGTGAAGGAGGGGGTGCTGGGGGACTAAATTGTGTTATATATAAACACAGAGCTGCTGTAAATCTTCATTATGCCATATTGCCAATGAGATGAGCAAATCCTATTAAACTGATGTAAACATTCGAAAGATTAAGTAAATACCCTCTCAGATTGCCTCTAATGATAACTGGGGTTCCAAGTTTCTATACCTCAAAGTGCAGAGAAGTCCTAACAAATACCGGATTCTAAATCTAGTAGCACAGACACAATACTTTAATTGACACTGGTTTTGGCTCAGGAGCTCTTGTAACTCTTAAATTAATGACAGACAGATAGGTAGAAGACAATTTTAAGATTGTATATATATGATATCATATGCTACACATTAAAAAGAAAAATATGACAGCGATGCCTTAGATGTCAAGAATCCTTTATAGATTCTGATAAAACTTCAAAATCCTCTTAGACTATTAAACATCCCCTCCCACATATTATCTTGTTACTGTCTGGTCCAGGTCAAAACAATTATTCAAAAGGCTAAGCATGAATGGAAGCCAAAAAATATGAATGTAAAATATTAAATTCATGATGGCACAGAATTTAACTTGAAATAAGGGAGACAGACATACTTAAAGGGGAGAAGATGACACAATAATTTATGAATCTTTAGGAGAATCTGTGACCTTTAAAGTTTAAATATCATTTTCAAGGTTGGATTCATGATAAGAAGTCTTTAGTTTTATATTCATTCTTTAAATTCAATATAAGCAACTCAAAGATTAACATATTTTTTAAAAAAGTAACGAAAAAAACCCCAAAATTAAAAGTGACCATGCACATATTGATTATAGCCCACCCACTGATTCTGTATGTTTCATGTTTACAAGTAACTACCCTCTTCCTTACTCCCATTAAAATGTGTAAATGGGTTTTCTATCCATTTATTATTTTCAAATGACATCACTGGTATTGTGTCAAATTACAAGTACAATACCCAACATACCATACATAACATACAAACCAGTCATTGCCATTCTTTTCTTCTAATGATCCGATAAAACTTGAAAATGCTGTACTTTCATTTGGTCATTTATCTGATTCCTGTAAGAAGAAAGAAGCACTTATCAATATTGCACAAAGTAGTTTTAAATAATTTTGTTTCAACTGTTCAAAACAGACACAAAATATTAAAGGAATACTTTTTTAAGGATTATAATAGTAACTCATATTTAACACTTGTATATTTTTCTAAACATGCTGCATTGATAGGATTTTAAGGGTGCAAGACAATTAAATAAAATTTGACAGCAATAATTTTACAGTAATATTTCATATTAGGGAGCAACTTTTACACATACAGATTTTATGCATACTAATTGCAGCTTTACATAAGACCACACAGTCACTGACTTTGGCACATTTTTAGTTAAAAAAAAAAACTTTTTAAAATTTTTTACATTATCATTCTACTCTATATACCTAAAGCATAAAAGCGACAGTACAGTTAGCTTTATGTGTTAAATCAATGTTTCTGTGTGGCTGATATCAAATGCCATGGTACAGTTATAACCACAGCAGCATATTTTTACCAAATGCTTAATTACTCAAAAACAGACTTCAAAGTGGAAATTAGCTTGAGAAAAGTGCCAAATAAAAATGTTTCCAAGTTGTACAACAAGTTCCCATCATGCTGTGAACAAAGCAAAACCAAAGTTATAGTGTAAATAAATTCAGTTTTAATTAATTTCTGACATGTGTGTCATATAACCATATCCAAATGTGTCAAATATTAAATGTTTTCATAGTCATTTTTGTTTTTTTGGAAAAAAATAACCCAAATGCTTGTGAAACTTAATAGCTAATCCTGTAAATTAGACCATATTTCTTTTTTGTGCTTTTTTGTCTGCAAGATCAAAGGTTATCATCTGAAACCCATGGTCAATGTCACTGTTATGCGAGACTGCATGACCATGGGTTTCCAATGATGCAGGAAGGTTTGTTTTACTTTTGCCTTCATTCTATCTACTCTCATTCACGTCCCAACATAAACTAAGAAAGATAACTCATTTAATTTACACTAGAGAGAAATTACTTTCTTCCATATCAAACAATTTCTGAGGTGGACAAAAACAACAAGGGTTGCCATTGCTGGGGCATGCTGAGCAGAAAAAAAACATTACGTAAACATGGTAAAGTAAATCTTTCACTCTGTATTATCAGTACATAAACTTACATAAAGTGTTATTATCATAAAAGCTAGTTGTATTAAATCAAGAGAATGAGCTGAGCTAGATGTATGTCAGAGCTGTTATATAACTTTTGATGTTTCATTTAGAATATATGTCGTGAAGTTCTCTGTAAAATAATCTCAGGGAGATTCGTCGACTGTGACGAGATAACAATGTAAAAGTTACTGATCATAGCTGACTTTTAGGTTCCGAGTCTCGACCAATCTCTCTTGATACTTGTACTTGTAAAACTTTGCATCATTGCAAATAATGTCCAAAACGTTTCATTTCAAAGAAAAATTTTACACAGATTCACACTAGTAATTTTCACACAACTGTAAAATTTACATCATCAAGATTCAAGTGATTAGCCATTCCATAGGGATCCCAACCACGTACAACTTGCCCGCCAAATGTCAGCTCGAATTGTACACAGAAAACCGTGACGTCAATTAGCAACAACACAAAAGCACAATGGTGGACATGTAAATCGAGGCCTAGCAAAATAATCATACAGCAGCTGTTTTAACGATAATACAAAGGTTAGAATATACATATCGTAAATTTTGTTGTGATTTATTCACAAGGATATATTTATTATAGTTAAAACATCTTAAAAATCTGTGTAAATTGTTGAAATCATTCCTTTTGAGCATTCGCTAGATATCACAAATAACGTTTTCTGTGATTTTTTTTTCACCACAACTCATTCCCTTATATTCTTCAGAATTATTCTTCCATGTCTCTTTGTTTTTACAGAGACAGCAACAGTCAACTACAGACGTTTTTTGATAATAGAAATTATAGGCCTACTTGTTCATGTTGTTTGCAACGGATTTCCTCTATAAAAGTCCATTTTAAAACAAAGTGACTGAATTGTTAAGTATTTAACAAATTGAATAGCATGTCATTTACTTACCAAGTTTTAACATGAATTTAAGCAGATAACTGGATGTCATTGTAATAATTTGATTATGTACACTGCATTTGCAGCAATTGCTGTAATCGTGTATTTGAAATGTAGTCAAAATCGTTATCTTGATGGGATCAAGAACAAAAAAACTTTGAAATATATAAGCACCTGTAACAGGGAAGGAGGAATTAAATGTATGGTTGGATCTAGAATCGAACCCACAACCCTGCATCACTAGTAACAGCTAGGTGCAGTGCTCTACGGACTGAGCTACCCAGACTGATATGAGTGATATCCAAGGCCCAAACCATTGCATTCTTATTTCCTTTGTTTATCTTTGCCCTCAAAGACACAATTCAAGTCCTTTTTAGCCCCTAGCAGGACTTTCACATGCAAGATGGTACCAAATCTGTAACAGGAAAGGAGAAAATGTTCGGCTGGACCTAGAACCGAACCCGGGACCCCTGCATCACTAGTCAGGTGCTCTACTGACTGAGCTACCCAGGCCTATATCCACGCCCAAAACATTTAACTTTTAAATATTAAGGGTAAAAAAATGAATGGATGAATTCATAAAATGATGTGTTTCACTATTTAGATATAAAAATGGGAAAGAAAGTCAAGGAAGACAAGAAACCACCTCCAGATGATGTGGTCAGTATTTCTTTTTCTTGACCTATATATCACAATAAGTAAATAAAAGTGAATAGATAAATAATTTATCTGAGTTAAATTCTTTTTTTTTCAATCAATGGGACTAGGTAATATTCTAATATTTTGAAATGTTATTGTTATAAGTACTGCAAAGTCAATCAATACAAATACATCACATGTCTGAATGTTTTAGTTTGACACCCTCTCTGTGGAGAGCAGACAGGCTGGGACTGTGGTACTGATGCTGAGCAGCCCAGAGGAAGATGTCCAGTCTAAAGCCTGCGAGGCAATCTACAAATTTGTTGACAAATGTTAGTGTACTTTGTTTTTTTTTATTATTCGAAAAAGCAGCTCCCAAAGAATTTCTACATTTATAGTATGTAAAGATTCCTTTAAAAATTTGCATAAAATATTCACATTTTCAAGTTTATCTATTTAATTATAAGCCTTGAAAAAAATATTCTTCTTGTTTTGATGAAGATTTGGGAATTGTAATACCTTTAAACTGAAACTATTGTAGGTGATGAGAACAAGAAGCAGCTGCTGGATCTGGGTGCTGGAGAAGCTTTGTTAAAGTTGATGCAGAGTGAGGACCGCATAGTCAGAAGAAATGCCTGCATGGCGCTAGGTGTCATGACCGCCAACCGTAGGTTTTACAGTGTTAAAATTCCATTTCTTATTTTGCTTCATTATTAAATTTAAAAAGAAAACTATTGTTTTGAGTAATGAAGATTAATTTATATCTCTTCAGCTGATGTTAGAAAGTTCCTCAGGAAAAGGGAAGAGTCAATACCTGCATTTATCCAACTACTAGCACCAGAAGGTGAGCAATATCATAAGTCAGATGTCCTGCAGGGTTTCTCAATAATATACAGACTAAAGATGCACAAATCCATCTTTCGTAGAGTAATTCACTTGATTTTGTCTTTGTTATGCTTTTGCTATAACTTTTTTCAGAGGATACGGTTGTACATGAGTTTGCAGGCCTTGGTTTATCCAATATGGCTACAGAGTTCAGCAGTAAGGCAACAATATTTGAGTCTGGAGGAGTTGATGCCCTTGTAAAATGTCTAGGTTCTAGTGACCCTGATGTCCAGAAAAACAGTGTAGAGGCTCTGGCACAACTACTGCTTGTAAGTTAACATCAAACTAAATATAAAACAAATAATGCTGTATGTATGTTTAGTTTTTTTACTTTATGTAAAATGAGTAGTATTTTATAACTTTATATGATTATTTTATTTTCTAGGACTATCAATCCCGGGCTGCCATTCGTGATGCTGATGGACTAAACCCATTGCTAGAATTGCTCAAGTCTGAGTTTGCTATCATACAGAAACTCTCTCTTCTGGCCTTGGATAGAGCCTCACAAGATTGTAAGATATTGTTTAATTCAGTCCACATTTGTTAGATGTAATACAGATTTAGAAATTTTTAAAATCTTTTTGGGTGAATAATTATAATGTAAATTTCCTGGCAGCTGAGAATAGATCTGCACTGCGTGAATTAGAAGCCATGACAAAACTGGTGGACTTTGTGGCACATCCTGAATGGAATGATCTCCATGTTATGGCTGTTATGGTCCTCTCCAACCTCCTGGAAGATCTAGAGAGCTTAGAGGTATGTGATTCAGTTTACCAGAGAGAAAGGTCATACAAAAAAATAATCTGTGTTATAAGTCATTGTTACAATCTTTACATCACTGTACGTTATAACATGTTGCTGGTACATGTATTTTGCCATGATCTCATTAATTAAAATACATGATGAATTATAGCTTGTGAAGGAGACAGGGGGCCTGAAACGTCTTGTAGCATTAATAACAGACCAGGTCCCTCCTGAGGAGGAGCCTAAAGCTGGCACAGGGAAGGGGGAGAAGAAGGCGGGGTCACGCGCGGCCAAAAAATCCGCCAAGGGAAGTAAGTCAGGTGAATGTTGTTTGTGTGTTTTAAATACTAACAATACTGTTTGGTTTCAAGGTAAGAAATGAAATGCATGAAATTCAAAGATTTTGATGGATTTGCATGAACACTGGCTTTTTTTTTGTTAATTTATAATTGCTTTGGTTATTGGTGTTGAATGCCAGATTTCTGGTTGCAGTTTTCACATCTTTTTAAAAAGTTATAAATTCCTAAACATAAGCCAGGAATTCAAAAATTGCATACATTTGGGAAGAGAAACACTCACATAATAAAAACTTCATTTATTTTAATATTACTGATCTTCATCTAAAAACTCTAAATCAACAGTCAACAAGTGAATTCTATATATTCCTACAATCTCTAGTCTTTGAGTTATTACACATTAAAAGTATTCATGCTATATTAATAGGCATTAAATTGTGCAATACCTATTAAAATGATACTAATTCATTCTTCCTCAGGTAAGAAAGAGGAGTCTGAGAAAGAAGAACCACCCCCGGGAGAAGCCATCATCCCCACCCTCCCTGACGTCAAGATGAGTGCTGCTAAGGCCATCGCAAGATCAGCCAGAAGTGGTAATTTTTATATCATATCCATACAATACATATAAATGATATCAAAAAACATATAAATCATATCCAAACACATGTAAATCATATACAAACACATGAAAATCAAATCCAAACAAAACATATCACATGTAAATCATAATCCAAACACATGTAAACATAGGAGTAAAATCAATGCAGATCTTCAAAAATTTGACAATAATATGTACACTGTTTGTGATAACACATGTGCTTTTTACCTGGTAGCTGAGAACAGAAAAATCCTGCATGAGCAGGAGGCAGAGAAGATGTTGATTCACCTTCTGAGTCACGAGTCGACGGACGTCCAGACAGCCGCGGCCCAGGCCCTGGGGATCATGTCCGAGAACCTGCTCAGCAAGGACTCCATCAGGGAGTGGGGTAAGTCTAATTAAATTGAAAAAAACATAACTATAGGTCAAATAATTACCTTGTTGTACAAAGATGGATTTCATCTGATGCAAATGTGGCAAGCATTTTTATATTTTGATTTATTGCAAAGAACATTTGATGAATTTAGTGTTATTTTTTATGAACAGAAGGCATGCAGCCCCTGATAAAGCTGTGTAACTCTGATAATGGAGATGTTAAGGAGGCTGTTACCTTAGCCTTGGCCAACCTTACCACCGGAAACTCCACTAACTGCCAGTAAGTGACAGCTACAAACATACATGGATTGTTGTCAATTTTAAAATGAAAGAATCTACAGATCCATAAGCGACAGAATATGCAGACTTTTATTTCTACTTAAATGAATAGCAGATATTAGAAGAAAAACATTTGTTATAGTTTTTGATCATCGCATACACCTGTGTGAGATCCTCCCCTTTGTTCTGTTTAGGGAGGTTAGTAACTTGAATGGGGTGGAGACCTTGATCCACCTACTGGCTGACCCCCGAGATGAGGCAGTGGCCAACACTTGTTGTGTTCTGACAAACATGGCTACAGAGGAGGCACTGAGGACTGAGGCCCAGGGGAAAGGAATCGTCACAGCCCTCCTGGAACCTCTCAAATCACAGTCAGTGTAAAATACAAACTGTCTTGTACATACTGAATCTTTGTTAATTGATGCTTATTTTGCAATTGATTTCTAATTTGTTGGGTATTTTTACATATAAATTCAGTAAATTTTTACATATAAATTCAGTAAATTTTTCAAAATTTTAAGCATAAATTTCTATTGAATCTTTTACTGTTTCAGGAACACAAGAGTTCAGGCTAAATCATCTTTGGCAGTGGCTGCTTATGTGTGTGATGCTGATTCCAGATCAGAGGTAAATGAAATGAATGGATGTTATCTAAAAGAAGTAGAATGGTAATTTGGAAGTTGTGTTTCTTTAAATTGTACACTGTACAGGAGTACATTACTTTTCTGTTTCTACTTCCAGTTCAGGAATGCGGGAGGCCTGGAGAGTTTGATCCAGCTGTTGCATTCTGGGAATGATGAGGTGAGGCGTAATGCAGCCTGGGCCTTGGCAGTTTGTGCAGTAGATGAACCTACTGCCGTTGAGATCTGTAAACTAGGGTAAGGCTACTTAACAATGTGATTGTAAAAAATATTTCGATCCATTATTGAATCATAAAGCTGCACTGAAATTCTGTTACTGTATATATATGTTTGTCTTTGGTATTGTAGTGGAATGGATCTTCTACAAGAAATCCAGGTATCAGGCACCAGAAAAAATCCATTTGCAGAGGTTGCCCTTGAAAGATTGCTGGACGCAAACCTGTCTGCTAAATATGCACTGACTGGACAACTAAGTATGCTCTCATATATCAATTACAGTTGTTTTCTTAAAAATGAAGCTGAATTGCTTCAACTTTTGTAAATCACATCACCACAGTTTGCATAAAATTTTGAATAAAATAAAACTTCTCCCAGTTTGAGGTGCACAGCCATGTTAAGGGCTTATTTCACTGAAATATAGTTGAGGTACTTTTACTTTTTCAGGTTCTACAAATCTAATAGAGGATGGTTTTTATGATGCTGGACAAATCCGACCCAACACAAAGTTTATGTCAATAGAAGATTACTGCAAACAGGAGTTAAATGACAAGCGGCCAGTTCTTTTTATAAATGCCAAGGCTGAGTAGGTCACTTTTTGCTAAAATAACATGCAAAAATCTGCAAAACAGTTCCTGAAATTCCTGTCTTTTGAAAGGGAGTCCTGTTTATAGTGTTATTATAAAATTTGCACACTATCTACACATAAATAACCAGATATGAATTACACATTTAGTATATATGAAACAGTAATGGATAATGGGGATTTTCAACACACCAGATACAGATTCATTTACCAATACATGCTGCACATTCCCAAGATTTTGAAGTTAACTTGTGAATTTCAGCCCTGTAACCACACAGTCTACATCAAATCCCGAGATGGAGGCAAAGGAGAATTCTAAGACGAATGTGTCCGGAAAATCCTCACGAACAGGACGGGAGGGAAAAGGGTAGGTAACTCCGTGTCCTTCTCCCCAGCATCGTTGTTTGTGTACAATTCATTTCAGACATTACAGCAGATGATTCAAAAACTACTCAGATTTGACTATAACTGTGCGTAAGAAGTATTTATCTAAAGGCAGTTACTTATGCATTGTAAGCTGAATATATTTAAAGTAATTGATAATTAACAGGAAAAGTCATTTGTAAGTGTGAAGTATTACTGGAAAGCTTTAACAGTAAAATATGATAGCATTAAACATTTCAAATTCTTTGTATATGAAACTTTGATTTCACTAAAACTTAATAATCCCTGCACATAAAATAGCACAAATCCTCAGTCTTTACTAACCCTTTCTTTGATGAACCATTCCTGGGTTTCTGAGATAATTCTGTTAATATGTTTACCAGCACACTCATTGATATAAAACCTTCCTGTGTTTTCCCTCTCTAGTCCTACCTCACCGTAAGTAGCACTGAGTTCATATTGATTTAATCAGGGCAAAAGTTTAATTTTCACAATCACACAGTTTGAATTTAAGTTTTGTGCATGTTTTATTTACAAGACAAGTGTTTTTACCAAAAAAGCATGTATTGTGACCATTGATTTCGTAGGATATTTTATTGAGAAGGTCAGCAATGCCCAATTATCTGACACTGATTCATTTTTGTTTTAAATTCATTGAACATGCAGACAAAAAAAAAATATTTAAAAATCTAGTTTAGTCTTACCCACAAAAGCTGGCATTAACAATATTGGGTATTAATAATCAAAGATGTAATATAGTGTAGAGCATGCTGTCTCATTTTCAATTTCTGGTGTCTGAGCATGATTTTAAAAATTGTAAAATTTGATTTTTTTTTTTTATAGAAAAGTCTAGCTAAAGGAGAAACTTAGTTTGGTTTCTAAAGTCATTGCATTGTTCACAATGCATGTATAGAAATGTGTTATGTGTACACTAAAAATGAAGTCTAGATTTATGTGCAGTAGTATAGTTTCACAACAAACATGGCTGCATTTTGCAACCATTTTGTATTTTTTGTGTCTTGGAACACATTTGACATTCTTTGTGGGTGTGGTAGGGATTACATTAACTGGTAAAGGTATTTGTTTGATTATTTATTCACTGTACTGTTCATTCAAACTAAAGTTAATCCAACAATCATCAAATATGTTTTGTGATTACAAAACATGTAAGAGTAATTTTTTTTAACTTATATTGTACCTATGAAAAAGTTTTGTTTTTTTTTTTCTCAAAAGTTAATTCTACATATTTAATTTCTTTTAAACATAAATGTAATAAGCACTTTAGTTAACTCGGAGATACTTTGCTTAGTCCAAGACTTCAGTGAACTTTTATGATTATAGTATGTGTTGTTTAAAATTGTCATATTTTCAAATTCTGTGATCCACTGGACCAATGTTATACCTGTCAAACATGGCCCATGGGCCTATTGTTCTTAAATCTTAATATAACTTCCTATTCCCATTGATGTGCATGCAAACTTTATTTGGTCTTGACTGATGTAGGCCCTAGCATGTATGATTTTATTCTTTATTGTCCTGTAAGCCATCAGTTCCTCATTTGCCTCGTTTCTTTTTGTCCTGGATAAGTATTTATTCTAAATAAAACCTTAGATGTACTCTCTTTCTGAGTCCTGGACGTGTACTAGTTGTACTGTAACATATTGTCCAGCATGATTCCAGACTTAGTTCTAGACTTTGTTTCTAGGGGTAGACGTCGAGCCTCCATGATTCCAGATGATGTTGATAGGTCAGTTATCCAGACACGATTGTGTCGCCATGGTAACTGGGTGTAGTCATTGCTTGTTTAGCTGCTTCAGTGGTCCTTTGTAGCACTGTTGTTTTATTTTTGCCTGTTCTACAATATCATTACATTGATTTATTACAGCACTGTGATGGATATACAGAATTATGGTTCAGAAAGTGATTAATAAAATAAAACAAATTATTATTTATTGCTGAATTATAATGTATATAATGTATAAATAAGTGCCAAATCTTTGATACATATCAAAGTAATCTTGTAAAAAAAAATCTACAGTTTTCAGATTACATGTGCTATTTTGTAGTTTATATGATCATAATATATAGGCCTATGTAAAATGATACAAGTATTGTAACTCAAAGTGAGTATATACTGCACAATATGGGGATGGAATTTATCTGTATAATTGTTACTATTAAGCTCATATAGAATGCTAGAAATTTGATTTTTTATGATAGGCATGAGGTACTGGTAGATTCCCTCGAGTATTTTATGATTAACATCATAAATTAATTAATCTGTATAAAAGATAATTTTCTTCTCCACTTACAAAAACTGTCAATAACTAACTTCCTTTCAGATGATATCTTCTGTTCAATTTATGTATTCAATGTAAACATTTTAATAGATTTATTTCCTCTATCGTAATGGCAAAACAAGTACCCCGTAAATCTTCCCTTTTCTTCTTCGAATTTTTTTTTTTCATTTTTAAGTATTGCATGCATTCTAACAAAAAATAAATTAAAGTATTATTGTTTGAAATATTTGTATAATGATTTATTTTCAAAGAGTTTTATGCATGAGCATGCCAGTTCAAACCTTGTCAATATACAAGCTTGGAATGATTTTAGAATTGAAGTCAATTTATTAAAATTTTTGATATGTTTTTAGTTTCAGCAAATTCAAATTGATACGCTTAATTTGCCAACCCTAACTAAATGTCATAGAGATGAATCATGATCAGTTTGTCAATTTCTGTACAATATTTTAATTTAAGGAAATCTAAACAAAAAGAAAAGGAAGAGAAACAGAAAGAGGAAGAACTCCAGGCTCAGCTTCAGAAAGAGGCTGAGGCACTAGCTAACTCAGAGAACCAGCCAGTCAACCCACCTACTGACTCTAACCTGGTGAAATACATAGAGGAGGTGACAGAAAGAATTCTCCCTCTGGCTACAGCTACTGATCAAGTGAAGGCACTAGCTCAGTAAGTCTTCAGAGGGTTAGACACAAATCAAGGTCTAGCTCATTAAGTTATCGGTGGTTCGGGTACAAGTCAAGGCACTAGCTCAGTAAGTCATCAGTGGTTCAGATACAAGTCAAGGTGCTAGCTTATTAAGTTATCAGTGGATCAAATCAAGGCGTTAGCTCAGTAAGTCCTCAGTGGTTCAGATACTTGTCTAGGCTCTAGCTCAGTAAGTTATCGGTGGTTCAGGTACATGTCAAGTCTTCAGGTACAAGTCAAGGCACTAGCTCAGTAAGTCATCAGTGGTTCAAGTCAAGGCACTAACTCAGTAAGCTGTCAGTGGTTCTGATACAAGTCAAGGCTCTAGCTCTGTAAGTTGCCAGTGGTTCAGATACAATAAGGCACTAGATTAGTAAATAGTCAGTGGTCAAAGTCAAGGCTCTAGCTTAGTAAGTTGTCAGTGGTTCAAGTCAAGGCACTAGCTCAGTAAGTTGTCAGTGGTTCAAGTAAGGGCACTATCTCTGTAAGTTGTCAGTGGTTCAAGTCAAGGCTCAAGCTCAGTAAGTTGTCAGTGGTTCAAGTCAAGGCTCAAGCTCAGTAAGTTGTCAGTGGTTCAGATCAAGGTGCTAGCTCAGTAAGTTGTCAGTGGATCGAATCAAGACTCAAGCTCAGAAAGTTGTCAGTGGTTCTGGTCAAGGCTCTAGCTCAGTAAGTTGTCAGTGTTCAAGTCAAGGCTCTAGCTCAGTAAGTTGTCAGTGGTTCAAGCCAAGGCTCTAGCTCAGTAAGTTGTCAGTGGTTCAAGTCAAGGCTCAATGTCAGTTAGTTGTCTGTGGTACAAATCAAGCTGCTAGCTCAGTAAGTTGTCAGTGGTTCAGATACAAGTCAAGGCACTAACTCAGTAAGTTGTCAGTGGTTCAAGTCAAGGCTCTAGTTCAGTAAGTTGTCAGTGGTTCAAGTCAAGGATCTAGCTCAGTAAGTTGTCAGTGGTTCAAGTCAAGGCTTAAAGACAGTTAGATGTCTGTGGCACAAATCAAGGTGCTAGCTCTGTAATTTGTCAGTGGTTCAGATACAAGTCATGGCACTAGCTCAGTAAGTTGTCAGTGGTTTAGATACAAGTCAAGGCGCTAGCTCAGTAAGTTGTCAGTGGTTTAGATATAGGGCTGGGCAAAAATATTGATATTTTGGTATATTGCAATACAGTGATAAAAATATCATATTGCAATACATTTTTGAAATATCAATATATTGGCAAAATGCTTAGACTAAGGAATTTTATCACCAATTATAAAAATAAATGTATGAACGGTTGTTATTAAGTCAAACTGTAAGGCAGAAGCTGTTTTACGGGTGCATTTCAAAGCAGAAATCTAATAAAATCAACAAGATTTTTTCCCATTTTGCTTACTTATCATAGTTATGTACATTTTGCATGTAAATTAAAGTTAATATTATACAAAAATGCTATTTTTATAACGTTTAAAATATTGCAATACATATCGCAATGCAGTTAGATATATCGCAATACGAAATCTTCGGCCAATACCCAGCATAATTTAGATACAAGTCAAGGCGCTACTCAGTAAGTTGTCAGTGGTTCAGATACAAATAAAGGTGCTAGCTCATTAAGTTGTCAGTGGTTCAGATACAAATAAAGGTGCTAGCTCATTAAGTTGTCAGTGGTTCAGATACAAGTCAAGGCACTAGCTCAGTTAGTTGTCAATGGTGCAGATACAAGTAAAGGTGCTAGCTCAGTAAGCTTCAGTGTTAAAGTCAATGATCTAGCTCAGAAAGTTATCAGCAGTTCTAAATAAGTAAATTGTCAATGGTTCATGTAACATTTGAGACTTAAGCTAAGTAAGTCGACAGCAGTTCAAGTCAAGGCTCTAGCTTAGGAAGTAATCAGAAGTTCATGTACAAGTCAAGCTCAAGCTCACTTAGTTGAAAATATATCTACTTCAAATACAAGTCAAGCTCTCTGCTCAGTAAGTTGTCAGCAGCTCAGATACAAGTCAAGGCTAAGTTAGTCATAGATAACTTCAAAATAAGTCAACACTCAGCTATTAACACTGAAGTAAGGTCTGAGAAAATTAATGTGAACAGTTCACACTCAAAGCTACAAAGTTAAAGATTTAGTAAACAGTAATTTGCCTTGATATAGCTTTTGACTGTATATTATTTTTTCTGAGATATTAAATGTGCAGAATGTTATTTTTAAGTTTAAATGTGTTTATTTTTAGATTTGTTGCTGACAAAATGGGAGGACCTATTGAGAAAGGACAACTGCCAAACTTCAGCTGGGAACTTCCTCTTAGTCAAGTGAAGTTTGAGTTGAAATCTAATGTTGTCCCTATTGGAAAAATCAAAGCTGGAATTCATGTCCACAGAGCTCTGTTATTCAAGGTATGAGACAAAAGAAAATTGCCTTATTCAAAATAAAGAGGCTTTGATTATTTTTTAGTTGCTTATGCAACATTTTTGGAAGTTGTGGTGAATCTAGGATCTCACATGATTTGTAGTTAGATATGATTTTTATCCAACGAGTTGTGTGGATTTTATCCCCGAGCCTTGGCGAGGGGAAAAACACACAACTCGTTGGATAAAAATCATATCTAACTACAAATCATGTGAGATTCTTTTTATCCCATGTTTTTTACACCACAAACGATGTTTAGCACTGTTTTTAAATAGGACTCCACTTCATTTTACTTCATCACTCTATCGCAAAATTCATTGTGACGTCACAACTGTGTGATACAAAAATGATATCACATGAGCTATATCAACGGGATAAAGGGTTAAACATGGGATAATACATATTATTTACTTGGTCAAATTATGGTTGACAATTTAAAACAAAAATTTTTGACTTCTAATTAAAGAAATCCATTTCATCAATTGTCTGTCACAATATATAAAAAAATTCTTCAGACTGAAAGAATTAGATAAGTACAGTAATTATAAACACCTTTACCTCTACAGGCCCTGGCAGACAGGATTGCTCTCCCTTGTTCCCTGACGAGAGGAGATTACAACAGAGCTTGGAATGAGGTCATGTTACCCGAGACCCAAGAACAGGTCAGTATAGGCGGGGGATAGAGTTTTATCTCGAGGGTCATATTTTTAATTTCTTAATTAATTTAGATAGAGGAATAATATTCCATCCAGTTGTTGGGAATCTAACTCTGTTTTTGAATTATTTTAGCCTGGAGGACAGAAATTTCCACCCTGTTGCTTTTTGGTGGATTTAATTCACCAGCCTGGTCAGTTACTGAAATCAGATTCCCCGGAGGCTGTTACCTACAAAAAACTGTGAATAGACTGCATGTGAGGAATAGCTCTGATGGACCATCACCCGTACGACAGACAGACAGACTAACAATGTGGACACACTCTCCTAGTGTCTGTGATATTCTTATGATTCCTTTATTTATTTTTGTTTAAAAACTGACATTAACATGTATTTTATATTGGAATTAAATATTGTTACAACTTTCAAGATTTTTTTTCTTAATTATTTCTGATTTTGCAATGATTTCACTTTCCCCCTGATAGTAAAAATTCATGTATACTTAGTCTATTTCATATATATGTGAATCTTTTTATTCTTGTGTCACGGGTCTCCCAATCTCAGGGAATAATAATGCAAACACAGTTCCTCAATAAAGGTTCATATATTTATTTGATGACAATTACGATGATGAAGTATAAACGAACAAACGAATGAAGGTGACCAGTTACACCATGGTACTAAGGTTCCGTAAGGAATTTCTTAGGTAAACTGCTAATATAACATAGATTTCTCGCAGGAGAACATCTATAATGTATCGTCAAGATTCAAAAGGAATAGTCCGTGCATAAGTATATATACCAGGACTCACACATGCGTACATAACTACCACACCCCATACATACTGGTTTTACAACTCACACCTATGATAAAAATAAACCACAAGACAATCACGTGACAACCAAACACTCACGTGACACGGAACACCGGACAAATCAGAATACAATACAAACACGATGACAATGAATGACCAGTTATGAATGAATGAATGAAGGAATTTACTACAGCTATCTACTATACTGACTTACTATACCAGCTGTACTAAATAATTATACTAAATAAAATAAAAACAAGTAATTGTCACCCTGTGACATTCTCCCCCTCTTTAATAAAATGTCTCCTGACATTTCTTAAAGAGAATACTCTACTACTAAACTTATCTACACTAACTTAAGTCTTATCAACACTAAGTAACTATCAAATAATAAGACTTAATGACTAATCATAAAATTATGAACTACAATATACACCATACATAATTAACTAAGTCACTGTAAGTGAAATCTTAAGTTAAATCATAGTAGTTCTATCCAAGATGAAATAAAAACATAACATAAAAACAACATATTAAATCCATATACACACATCCTGATTACCTGTGACGTTCTCCCCATTTATACATACCACACTTGTGTCTCTATGGGAGACACCCAGGAACCATACCTATCTGGTACTTTCTTGATTCTGGCAGACCTGCGGGGCTCTGCTACTACATTAGCTGGAATAGATGGTTCCATGTGGGTTAACTTTATACTTTCGCTTGTTGAAGTCTCCCTAGTTGATGGCTCTGTGCGGTTCAGTGTTGTATTTTCTCTAGTCGATGCTTCTCTATTTGATAGTGACTTGGATGACCTTGACCTATCTGAAACACTAGATATATACTGTTTAGGTTTGACTCTTTTATGCCTTACCAAAACTTCCTCATCCTCAGATTCGGACTCTGTCTCTGATTCTGCAACTTCCTGGTCTGGTACTGCGTTCGGGACCCTGTTATCTGAATGTTGATCTAAATTCGAAGATTTTGTAATGCACATAAAAGGTAATAAAAGATTCCTATGTAATGTTCTAATTTTTCCTGATATTTCATTTTTGACTCTATAGACTGGGATGTTTGAAACAGGCTGTTCTATTACCATGTAGGGATCTCTCTCCCACTTATCAGCTAATTTTGATCTACCAGAAAATACTAATGTTCTCACCAAAACCCTATCTCCAACTTCTAATTTTTCAAAACGGACCTGCCTGTCATAACCTTGTTTATACCTTGCATTGTTTCTACCAATGTTACCTCTGGCCATCTTGTATGCATAGTTTAGTCTTTTCTTCAGCTTCTGTGCATAATTCTCCCTACTTCTGGTCTTTTGTGGTGTTTCTTCCAATCCAAGATATGCATCAATCGCTAATCTAGGGTTCCACCCAAACATCAGGTAATGAGGCGAAAATCCCGTCGTTTCGTGCTTTGTTGAGTTGTAGGCGTTGACTAAAGGTAAAACATAAGTTTTCCAATCGTGCTTCTGTTCACTGTCTAATGTCCCTAACATCTTCAGCAATGTCTGGTTGAACCTTTCAACTTGCCCATTTCCCATAGGGTGGTATGGAGTTGTTCTGCTCTTCTTTACTCCAGCAATCTTACAGAGTTCCTTGATAACTGAACTTTCAAAGTTCCTACCCTGGTCCGAATGTATACGCTCAGGGAAACTGTAATGGCAGATGAAATGTTCGTAAAGTACCTTAGCCGTAGTAGATGCTAATTGGTTCCTGGTAGGAACAGCCACTGCATACCTCGTAAAGTGGTCAGTAATGACTAGTATGTTCTCATACCCACCTTTAGACTTCTCAAGAGTCAGAAAGTCCATACAAACCAGTTCCATAGGTCTTGATGTAAAAATGGAAACCAATCCTGTCCTTGGTACTTCTCTCGCCTTAAACCTCACACACCTGTCACAGTTCTCTACCTTTTCCACTACATCTGTATACATGTTTGGCCAGTAGAATCTCTGCTGTACCAACCAGTACGTTCGGTCTCGTCCTTGGTGACCCATATCCTCATGAAGTCCTATGAGTACACTGTCTTTATACTTACTTGGTAAAACTAACTGGCGTATCTCCTCTCCAGCAACAGTAGTTTTTCTAAACAAGATTCCTCTGTCAATCACCAGTTGCTTCCATTCCCTTAAGAGTAACTTGACTGAATTTGATTCCTCTTGTAGGTCTTTTCCAGTTGGTTTGATTCCTCTTCGAAGTAGATCCTTGACCCTACTTATAACAGAATCGTTACCTTGTTCCAGTTCCCAATTCACAGTGCTTAGTTTCTGTGATGTCTCAGCTCTCTCAGCACTGTCAGGCTCTAGTGACTTACCAATAACACAACTCTCTGCTAGGGGATTTACCTTTACCAATGCTGCCTGAGAAATAGCTTTAACCACATCTGAAAACAGTTTTTGTTTAGGGGGATTTCTTGATAACCCATCAGCGTCTCTGTTGAGCTTACCTGATCTGTAAGTTATCTTAAAATCATATGCTGATAATGATGCCAACCAGCGATGTGATGTTGCGTCCAGTTTGGCTGTTGTGGTGACATACGTAAGAGGATTATTGTCTGTCCTTACATCAAAATGATTGCCATACAAATAATCATGATATTTATCTACAACAGCCCATTTCAAACACAGAAATTCAAGCTTATGTGCTGGATAATGTTTCTCAGATTGCCGTAAACCCCTACTTGCATATGCAATAACACGCTCCTTACCATCCTGCTCTTGATACAGAACTGCCCCTAAACCATTAACACTTGCATCTATGTTCAAAATAAATGGCTTAGAGAAATTGGCAAAAGCAAGAATAGGAGGATGTGTAAGCTTCTGAATAATGAGTTCAAAAGATTGTTGTTCTGACTCACCCCATTTCCACTCAGCTTTCTTTCTCTTTCTGTTTTTCTTTGCTGCTTTGTTGGTAGGTTGTCCAATCAGCAGATCATTCAAGGGCTTTACAATCCTTGCATAGTCTTTAATGAATCTGCGATAATACCCTGTAAACCCTAAGAAAGATCTTAATGACTTTACATTACATGGAACAGGCCAATTTTCTAAAGCTGATGTTTTCTCTGGATCAGTCATAATCCCTTTCTCAGAAACTACATGACCCAAATAGCGAACTTGACTTTTGAAGAATTCACATTTCTTTGGATTCAATTTCAACTTGTAGTCATGTAATCTCTGAAAAACTGATTCCAACCTCACCAGATGTTCCTGAAATGTACTCGAGAAAATTAGAATATCATCGAGAAAAAGTAAACATTCTTTTAGGTTCATATCACCCATACACATTTCCATTAGTCTTTGGAATGTCGCAGGAGCATTGGTGAGACCAAACGGCATCCTGTTACATTCAAAGAACCCTAATGGACCTACCGTAAAGGCCGTCTTTTTCTTGTCTTCCTCACGAATCTCGACCTGCCAGTAGCCTGATTTTAAATCTAATTTACTGAAATACCTTGATCCGTCTAATCTATCTAAAGTGTCCTCAATTCTGGGTAGAGTATACGCATCCTTGATTGTCCTGTTGTTAAGCTTCTTCAGGTCTATACAAAATCTCAAGGATCCGTCTGACTTTCTACATAGAACCACGTTAGAACAGTAGGGACTGTTTGACTTCCTGATGGCCCCTGCCTCCAACATCTCTTTCAATGTCTGCCTAACTTCCTCAATCATACCAGGGGGAATGCGTCTGTATGGTTCCTTGAAAGGTATTTCTGTGGTTAGGTTTATCTCATGTTTGACCACATCTGTCCTCCCTAGGTCTGTAGGAGATGTAGAGAATAAGTGTTGCCATTTTCCAATCATATGCAAAGCTTCTCTTACCTCCCCCTTAGAGAGTTTGTCAGTGTTGACCTTCACCCCTAAATCTGCTAATGATCTGGTAGTGGAATCCTTCTTCTTGACTGGTTTGGTCTCTGCATGCTGTGGATTCCAGGTGTCTACTACTCTTACCTGACTCACACTACAGATGTTCGTCTTGGGTGGTATCTTAACAGCACTAGCCGAGATATTACATACCTTAACTGTGACCCTTTTGTTTTTCCCTGTACTACTGGACATAACCAGTCGAGGGCACACTACCACTCCGGCCTGACTGTTCTCCAGTTGTTCTGTTATTAAGGACTTCACTGTCCCTTCCATGTTTCTTACCATTCCTCTAATGTATTTCACTTCATTGGGAGCTAAATGTATAGGATATTTATTAGTTGTCTTAACAGGTACACAGCAATTAACACACATAGTGTTAATAGCCGTTTGCCATGCTTCTTCACACTCACCTGTAAAATCTACACAAAGTCTAATAACATTTGTCCCAATAATAACCGGAACTCTACTATTGAAGCTTGAATCCCGAGTTATCAATGCTGGAATAAATAATGGTTCTTGCATGAATGGAACTTCAATTTCCGCTTCTACATATCCCAAATAGGGCAAACTGTCCCCATTTGCACCATAAACATCTAATTTAAATTCAGATATTTCATGTAGACTTGGTTTGTTCTCCAGAGAATTATAAAATGACTCTGAAATGGTTGTAACCATCGAACCACTATCTATCAGACTTGAAACCTCCTTCCCACAAATTTTGACATATGCTTCATTTGTTGG